CGCTCTTCCTGCCGCCTTCTCCTTTCCTCTCCCTCGCTGTCTTTTTCTCTCGCCTTGCTTATTGCTTGCACACGCGCCTCGCACACGACTTCGGTATCGCAATGGCCCATGTATGAAAATTCTCCATGATACTCCGACTGGATAAGCGAACGATTTCATAACTGTGGGAATGGAAACTGTAGGATAAATTCGTACCTGGTTAACCCTTTACCGGCATCTCCCGGAATTCCATCTTCTGCAATAAAGAAAAATTCCTCGCAGCTCGAAAGGAGCTCGGTTTTCGAGGCGCTTTAGCTAGTCGTTAACGAACTAGTCGAAGAGCGGCGTGGAGGAGAGATGCGGGACTGGTGCGATCCCTGGGTGACTTGAGTCCCCCGGAAGCTGACCGGTCTGAAAGTAAATCAAGGAAAAGTTTCCCCGTGGTTCGGCTCGGAAACTTTTCGATCCTCTTCTTAGGAAAGGCCAAGTCCAAAGTGCGTTTCATGTACGGGCGCGCACACAAATCAAGGATGAGCATAATCTACATTTACAGCAGGGGCCCGATGAGCATCTGCTTCCACCCCTCTTCGGCCTCGACCCCTCATCCCTCGACGCCCTAGTCCGAATCCCTTTCTCTGCCAACGAGCATCCTCCCACCGTCCACGTTCTCCCGATCACCATCGTTTCTTCCTCGTCTGAGTAGAACTCTATCCACTCGTTTCCTCTCCTTCCAGTTCCATCTGGACGGGAGGAACGTATATACTCGCGCGTGCGACGCCAGTGTCGATAGGTCATGCGGAGATCTCGAGCCGCGTTATCTCGAGCTTTATTATTTGCGGTATCGCGGTGAAAAATTCGTAATCGTTACGGTTCTACTTTTCAATTCGCCATGATTTTTCGATCCCTCCTTTTACGCCAATTGCGTCTCGAAACAGACCATCCTCTTTTTGCGTTCTTCGCGAAATCTGCGTAGATATTGTTAACCAGCTATTGCGGCTATCTCCCTCTCTCTCTCTCTCTCTCTCTCTCTCTCCCCTCTCTTTCTCTCTCTCCTTATCTTCTCACTGTGAGAAGTATAAAAATGCGATTTGATAAAATGTTTAATGAGTTGTTCGCTTTGTGTACAGAATGACGTTGGTACACAGCGATACCAGCGCAAATTCAATATACGTTTTCATTTTTTCCTTTGAATATGAACATGCGTATTTCGATCATCAAAGGTCATCGAAACTCGAGTAATCTAAGAGATACTCGTCATTTTTATGTCAGCCCCGTTTCGCTGCACGTTTCGTCGTATCGTCGTTTATACAACGGGAGTCGAGTAACGCGTGTAGTTAAAAGTTAATCATAGTATAAAGATTTACTTTTGGGATTTGAAACTAGATTAGCGCGTTCGATAGTCGAGAGTAGATGCGGTGGTAGCAAAGGGGTTTGAGAAGTTGGCGAAACGGGCGAGTGTACGGTGCGACTCGAATTCCTGACTAATGCAAGTCCCTCGTTACCGAACATACGCCGCCATTCGCCGCGCTCCCGTTATGGTCGATATGAATTTGCCACAGCGTGAAACACCATCATCCTGAAACTCTCTGCTTTTCCTCTCCTCGCTTCTCTCTCTTTCTCCCTACCTCTTTCTCTCCCTCTCTCTCTCTCTCTCTCTATCTTTCCTCGCGGGTCCACAACAGCAACGCGCCAACGATCTTGTGTCTCCGCTCTTTCTGCGTTTCTCTCTCGTGTCGTGGCCGACGAGTGGTCTCTGTAAATTCGCGATGCTCTACGGGGAAGAGCAAAAGTCCATTAGCCACTGCGAGAACTGGGTTACCGAAAGGGGCTTGGGTCGATAAAAAAGATTCTCGACAATTCTGTATTTGGAGCTTGTCGTTCCCTTTCGCTGATCGGTTCCACGCGACGCTGTTCTTCATTCGAGATCCTTGGTCTGAGCTTTAAGGTCTGAGAGAAGAACATGGAGCTTGGAACGGACTTCCTCTCCTAGTCCGGAATGTCTTTGCACGAATTCGAATGGCATTTCTCGGAAAGACGGCGTCTATCGTACTATAGAGTCTATCGGCGGTTTGACTGAAGGCACCGCGCCCTACCGAGTACCATATCCTGTTATCCTTATGTTACATTGGCGTAGACATGGTCATCCTCGAAACTTCGTTTCACTCGGTTGTGTTAGACGCAACATCTGCATCCGTTGCACGTCGCTTCCATCCTCGTATTGACCTTTTTGTCCAAGATTTCGGGAATCGCTGAATATTTTAATCGAAACG